AGGGGAGCAATCTTTAGCAACTCATTGATTATGGATTTCCACCTTAAATCTAAAGTGTGTGCTTAACTCACTTTTGTAATGACTCGTTAATTCTGTCTGTTACAGGAATGGCATGTTTCTAAATTTCTAATCTCAGTATGCGCCTAAGTTAGGAATTGATTCTTTGAGTCAACCACTAATTGCACCTTTGGGGGACTCTTCCATTCCTCTTCGGCACCAGCTGCAGGAAAGGTAACCCTTTAAACAACTTACTTCCTTTTCTTAAGACTCTTCCAGCTACTGTCAAAGCCAGTTCCCAAACCTACTCCTGCCTGCTATCCATATCCCTTAGAACCCCAGACATGAGAAACTGATTCTTTAAAGGAAAGTGTCGATCAGCTCCTGTGACTAGCCTGCCACCTCCAATCTTTCGCCAGCCTAGAAGTCTCTGTACTGTGGCTTCCTAGGACCTGCCTTAAATTTGAGTTCCCTGAAACTTGAGGGCTTTGTCCCCAGGCAAGTACACCTGAGCCTCAGGACCTACTGTAATGGCAACACTGGCGAATTGTATCACCATGGAAACACAACAGCCACAGGCTTCCCAAATAAGCACTGAGACTATTTTCTAAGTACCATATAAACAGGGTTTCTTTTTTTATTTTTACATGTCAGAGAAGAGACACAATTCAAAACTGTCAGTGACTCAGTAATATCTTTAGGTAAGAACAGTTTTCAACCTGGCAAGCTGTAAATTTGTGTATTTTGCTAATCAAACTAAGAGTTGGGAAACCAGCTCAAAAATACCCCTCCTCAGATTTGTTTTTCTTCCCCAAATGGAAGGCGCTTAGACCACTTATCAAGCTGGTCAGGGCCCACTGCTAAGTCACTCCTTGCATTTACAGAACAGTAAATATCAGATAACAAGTTACCTTTGTCATTTTTAAAAGTCCTCATTTTTAGAAAAAAAATATAGAAAATACACTCATAGAAGACATTTTGAATGTTAAAATGGAACTGCTTGCTTTGATGCAAATGGCTCTGTGTGTGTGTGTGTGTGCGTG